TGTCAAAAGACTTTATTAGGTCCAGATAGACTGTCAACCCAACCACCTCTTTCCTGTTTTATCTCAATGGCTCTATCATAAAAACTAAGTAAATGTGTTAAACGGGATCTTCCTGTTCTAAAACCATACTATTTGTTCGTTATGTCATTGCTCTATAGATGTTCAACGCATTTGGCTTTAACTATTGTTTCTAGTGTTTGGACTACCATGCTTGTTAATGATAAGGGTCTATAATTTAGAGGTTCCTCTCGACTACCAATTTTATAGATTGGTACTATGTTTGCCTTTTTCCATATACTGTACTGTATCTGCTAAGATTCCTGTGCACAAGGATATCTGGAATATTAATTGGAGTGGAATGCTCAGCTTGGTTGCACATTCTCGCAGCACCCAAGATGAAACTCCATCAGGTCCAACTGCTTTATTTCTTCCTTGCCCCTTGAGTAATTTTTTCCACTTTGTCTTGAGATACCTCTATGTATTCTATGGCCTGCTCTGGAATTGGTATTGGGTCCAGTTCTATGAAATCCTCATTTTGTTCAAATACACTTTGGAACTGTTCATTTAGCATTTCACACATTTCTTTTTCATTCTCATTAGTCCTATACCCCATTCTCAATCTCTGGATTTTATCCTTTACATGCAGCTTGCTTTGAATTAATTTATAGAAAAGGCCTGGATCAGTTTTACATTTGTCTGCTATCTTTCTCAAAGTTTCTTTCTGCCTCTCCTCACTGTTGTGTAATTGTTTCTTGCTTGTAGTGCTGGTATGTTTGTGGGTTAGCCCTATTTCTATATTGAACTCATTTTCTTGTCTTCATTCTGTCCACATTCTCTTCTAGATTATATCGCAAAACATATTTAATATCCAACAGGACATGATCACTCTTTCTCAAGGGAGGAAGGTACTGGATGTCAAATATGTTCTTTCCTGGTGAATATTAGATCCAGTACTGACAGAACCATCTCCTGCCCTCGTTCTTGAGGCCTTCTTGACGTGTTGATACATGAAGGTCTCCAGAATGAGGTTTATAAATCTGCCTGTGCAAATGTTCTCTGTTCTTGTTCCGTAGGTCTCCCAGTCTATTGCCTTAAAGTTGAAGTCCCTCAGTACCAGCGATTGAGATTTATCTTTATCTGTTTTTACTATAACACTCTCCTGTGACCATTATGAGGCCCTTTCATTTGTCATCCAGTTCCTCCTTTGTCCATGTGTTGCTTGCTGGTGGGCTGTAGGCATTTACGATTATTAGTTTGTAATCCCGATTCCTGATCTGCAATGCCATTATGTCAACTTTTCGAGGGTTTTCAATTACAATCTCTCTTACCTTCAGGTGTTCTTTCACCAGCACAGCCACTCCTCCCCCCTTTATAGTTTTCCTGTCATCTCCAAACTGAGTAGCCCCTTGGGCTACTGTGTGGCTTCCACACAGTAGCCTGTGAGAAAGTGGCTTCCACCACTTTCTCACTTAACTTGTTCCAACCATCTACCACTGTGTGTAATTACCTAAGTGTAGTTACAGGATGAGAGCTACGCTCGTGATGTCCCGTCTTCCCAACACTCATTGTCATGTAATGCTTTGAAATTACTGATGGTTTTTACCTCCACCGCCACCTCACCTAACTTGTTCCAACCATCTACCACTCTGTTTGTGAAAGTGAATTTTCTTGTATTTCTTCAGCAGCTTTGTTTGGCAAGTACAGGGTATGGAGCACATAGTTTAAATCTACGACCTCTTGTTCTTGAAGTTTCAGGTCTCGGAATTCTAACCTATCAATTTTACACGATTCCCATGTGTGTGCGTAATTACCCAAGTGTAGTTACAGGATGAGAGCTACGCTCGTGGTGTTTTGTCTTCCCAGTATGCTTTGTCATATGACGTTTGAAACTACTGACAGTTCGGGCATCAACCAGTTATCATTTAGGTTGTTTTAACTATCTACAACTTGATATGCAAAATAGAACTTTCTAATTTTTTGTAGCACCTTTGTTTCCTTAGCTTGAATCTATGACCTCTTGTTCCTGAAGTTGCAGGTTTAAAGAATTCCTCGTCTATTTTATCGATGCCTATTACTATTTTGTATGTAGTGACATAGAGACTGTTTTCTTCTATCTTCTAGCTTTGGCATATTTAATACCTCTTGTATATACTGTACAGTATCTTTGTTTTTCAGTTCTGGAAGTCATTTAGAAGCATGTCTGTGCATCTTTTCCAATTAAAAATTAATGTTCTATTTGAGATATGGGCACCATACAACTGCTACATATTCAAATTTTGCCCTCTTAAAATTAGTGAACAATGTCTACTAAGTATAACAGTGCTACCTATTCTGTCCATTGGAATTGTATTTTATCTTTTTCCATATACTGTACTGTATCTCCTAGGCTTCCTGTATGTAAAGATTCCTGAAAAATTAATTGTAGTGAAATGCTGAACTTAGGTGCGCATTCCCTCGGAACACAAGCAAGACTCCATCTGGCCCAACTGCTTTGTTTTTTCCTAGCCCTTTGAGCAATTTTTCTACCTCATCCTAATACATCTTTTAAAACTTAAATCAATCGTCTTGTGGCAATTTTGAGTCGTCTGAATATCCTGCCAAATTTTTATTTATCATTACAGTTGATTTGGAACTGAAATTTGTTCCAATTTGGAACACAGGAAGACAATGCTACATGCATATCTGGTGCAGTGTCCATTGAACTTGTTCCTGTCTGTTTTTAATTGAGTTAATGTGAAAAATCTTACTTCACACAAAAATGTAGTAGTAAAAGTTTTAAGATATTTATAAGTGGAAATTCTCCTTCAACCTTAATCCAAAATGATGACACATTTAATTGTTCAAAATCAATCTTCAATGCAAATAAACTACAAAGATGCAGTAATTCAGCATTAATCTTAAAACAAGCATACCATCAGTCTTGAAAATTGGTGTTGAGTAATTAGTACAGATGAGGTTGTCGCTCTCGCTTGCTTATTGTTTTATGAATTTTTCTGTTGACACAGTTATTTATTTTGTGACCCACTAATGGGTCGAGACCTGCAGTTTGAAAAATCCTCTAGGCTCTTGTTTCCCAGTTGGGGGACTCTTCTTTGTCTTGGTATCTATCACCTTTTGTCCCTTATAAATTGTATCTGTTCTTTCTCCATATCTCCATATCTTATCTCCATTAAGCTTTGGAGAGCCACCAAGGGGCTTCCCCTAGAAACCCAGCATTGAATGTAATGAAATGCCTCTTTCTGTAGAACCCCTTCCAGGTTTGTTTGGGGGTTGTTCATTAGCTCCTGAACTGATTCAGGGAAGGCAGCTGTGGGTTGGGGCCTGGGCCACCTTGTGATGGCAATACTGTAGAGTTCAAGATTTAAGTGAACAGATTGTTTTATTTGGATCATTTTTAGAGTGGTGGTTTTGAGGCTTTGGTTTCCATGAATCTTGCAGTTGTTTGTTAAACTTCTGACTTTCTGGATGCTTTTCTAGTAAGGTGGTGGATTCTCTTTTTCCCTACACCTCCGTGAGGTTGGACTAAGGTGAGGTTCCCGTTAGTCCAAACTGAACGCCATCAACTCACGTTACCCAACAGTGGGACGCCATCTCAGTGGGATGGCTTTAAGGAGTCACTGTGTTACCGGAAACATTTCATTACATTTAAAGCCTTTTTTTCATAGAATGGAATGGAATGGAGATGATGGAATAGATAAAGATGGAAAAATTTAAGTGAGGTGGTGGTGGATGCCAAAAAACATCTTCTAGTTTTGGGGTTGTTATATAACAGAAATTATAGGGAAGATAGGACACCATAGGTATAGCTCTCCTCCTGTAACTAAAGTTAGATAATAACAGGCAAATGCACAAGATCAGCAGATTATGAAGGACTTGAGGAGTTAGTCCAACCTGTGGTAGACCTGAACATGCGAGTTAAATGGGTGGTTTTGAGAAATGACGTGTCTTTATTATTAGGTGATATAAAAATGGATTGTGTTTATAATCCATTTTTTATGGTCATAGGTGATGCGACGCTTTTGATGATTATGGTCATAGGTGATGCGACGCTTATGATAATTGTTTATAGGTGATGCCACATTACGCCATCTCTCCTGCAGCCTTACTATAATGTTGGCATTGTGGCACAGTCACTCATTAGCTCCTTTACTGGCAACACACCAAGATATATTCAGTAACTGTTATAGTTGCACATTTGCTTCATAGTCTTTGTCTTGTAATGGTTGCAAATCACTATATATATACAGTACACTGAGGAATCCACTATCTCAGTGTATTCAGCCCATCCTCCTGTTTTGGTAGTACTTATAGTAATGATGAGTGATCATAGTACTGTATATATACCGACATACAACGAAATTAGAAAGCAGAAATCGGCACTATTGAGTTGGATACACCAGAAAACTATTTTTTACACACGTTGAAAGATGAACTAAACTAACCTAACCTTCTTAGGCCTAATACACGATATCTGAGACCTAATATAGTACATGTGTATGCTATATTAATTTTGGGAATATTTAATTTTTTTTTATGAATTCCTTACTAGTCAATACAGTACAGTGGTACATCGAATAACGAATTTAATCCGTTCCGGTGCCGTTGTCGTCATGTGAAATGGACGTCATACAAAACGAATGTCCCCATTGACATTAATGGTAATCAAATTAATCCGTTTCACCACTGAAAAACATCAATATGATATTCGATGTTTTAAATAATGGAGCAGCCTACCTTACATACACTTCACAAACCTTTATGACATTTTTCTTTCTTCAAATTTGTTCAATATTTATTTTTTATTTGTCTTATAGCAAAAGGTTTGTTCGGTGGTCAGCGGTGGTTGGCAGGTAGGGTCCTTGAAAGCTCCTGATATGAAGGAATGGCAGTTTATATTTCCTGCATGCAATATATAAGGGCTAATTATGTTTTTGATCATTATATAATTTTGCTTTAAATTTAGAATTTTCTTTAATCGTTTCACATTTTATTATAAACAGGTCAATGCTCGTTGTGAGTGGGAGGATATCCTTGAGGACTTTCGTCTACCAGCAGGTTGCGTAAACTCTGCTACTGCCCTCAAACATATTTACATAAGGTAAGTAATTTACTGAAGACATTTGGCAGTAAATGCAGGAGCTCTTCGAAGGAGTAGAGTAAGCAGGTTTCTTGCAATTTGCAAACATAGATGAATGTTATAAATAATTCATATGCTTCCCATTCAGGTGAGTTATAAGGGGAGAACCTCATAAGTATTGAAGTGAATATAAAGGCAGTTGGATCCTATAGATACCTTGTTTATATTGCGTTTAAAGAGAACTATCCCATTCTCTTGAAAACGAGTGATAATTTGATCACATCAGTCTCAAGAGAGACAGGCTCAATATAGATGGGCCAAGAGAAGCAAACAAAACAAGGACTAAAAGCCTGTTGATAATACAAATGGTGTATATGTACTGTAATTATGTTCTGTAAAGAAGAATAAAATGAACATACAAATGTAACAACCTGTCCTCTTGAATAGTACATCACATTTTGACATGTAAATCCTCTATTGCCAAAACCTTATGTACTAAAAAGCATAGCAGCTCAACAAATTGACGGGATGTCCCATTTTCTGTTTGTGGGGTCTTGGTTAGATTAGGTTTGGTCTATTTAGTACACCAGTTTAGTGGCATGATAGCTTGAGACAATGGGCTGAATATAAACACCCAAGAAATTGTTGAAATATTCTTAGTTTAGGTAAACGTTGCAAAAGTACAGTATCACATTTATGGAAGTTTCCTTTTAGCAAATGATAAAACACTTCATTGTATATTATACAATATATAATTTTTTGTTTATAATTATAATAGAAATACAGTATTATAATACAAATTGTATTCAGGATCTCCATCTAGCAATGTGGGATGTATTTTTTAATTTCCCACCATAGGACAATCAGTTTGTACTCAAACCATGATTTCCAATAGACATAATAGACAAACCGTGAAATAGGTTCCCGCCGAATAAAAAAAAATGTTCGTATATATATAACAACTATAAAGAATGTAGAATAAACACTTCTTTTACCTTAAAAACTGGAGTTGCCTTACTTATTGCATTTGAAAATTATTGAGGAGAGGTTTAATTAGTGAAGGATGAGGAATTAGATTTTAGTGTGATACTTTCTGGGAAAATCTTGTGCAGAGTGATTTTGTGCAAACTTAAATACCTGTATATGAAAAATTAGTAATGCAATTAGATACCTTGCCAAATCTAATGCATACTGGTCGGAGGGAGCCGGTCGGCCGAGCGGACAGCACACTGGACTTGTGATCCTGTGGTCCCGGGTTCGATCCCAGGCGCCGGCGAGAAACAATGGGCAGAGTTTCTTTCACCCTATGCCCCTGTTACCTAGCAGTAAAATAGGTACCTGGGTGTTAGTCAGCTGTCACGGGCTGCTTCCTGGGGGTGGAGGCCTGGTCGAGGACCGGGCCGCGGGGACACTAAAGTCCCGAAATCATCTGAAGAAGATCTGAAGATATACTGTATTTCCATTAACTGTATATTGAAAACATTTCAATATACATTTAATATACAGAACCACTTAACCCTCAAACTATTCACCCTAAACTAGGTAAATTTCCTGGTGTGCATGAAGGAAATGACTTTCTTTATTGTAAAGCATTTCTTTCCAATGGAGAAACAAAGTTAATAATTTTAGTTTGGCTGTAGTGAGAGGGAAGAAGTGTTGAAAACATAAAATAATGAGAAGTAATGTTTCAAGTGTTAACTACAGTGGAACCTCGATTCGGCAAATCTGCGAATGGGCATTTTGAATGTTTTTGTTGGTTGTTTATTAATTTTTGGTTGGGCATTTGAATATTTTTTATTGGTCATCTTGAAATTTTTTGTTAGGTGTTCTGGAATTTTTTGGTTTTGTATTTTGGAATTTGTGTTTGGTACAGTATTTCATATTTTGGGGAGGGGACATTTTGGAATTTTTTGTTGGACATTTTGGAATTTTTTGTTGGACATTTTGGAATTTTTTGTTGGACATTTTGGAATCTTTTGTTGGGCATTTTGGAATTTTTTGTTTGGTATTTTGGATTTTTTTTGGGTGGGGGCGAATTGTTACTTCATATGCATCTAGTCATGTTTATAATGATTTTTGTAGATATTCACAACATTACAACAGAAATAGTAAGGTAAATACTATTTTAATAGTATTTACTGTTGTAAGAAATAGTAAAGTAATACTATTTCTTACAACAGAACTAGTAAGGGGCCTTGGGAAAGCCATTAAGCTTATTTAAAACCAAATTCTTTGATTATTTTAATTTGGAGATTTTTGAGACAGGTACCATTGGTCATTGTCCTTCATATGACATTTGAATTTAAGTTTTCGGTCTGTGAAATCAGCCTATAGAGCATGGAAATTTAATTTAATTCACTGTTGGGGGACAGGCAGCCAGAGTATATTTATATACAAGGCTTATATTGATGTACCCCCTAGGGATGAATTACTTGACCTCTCCAGGATGCAACCCCACAACAAGCTAACTAACTCCTGGGTACCTACCTAGGTACCTAGGTAGCTAGGGACATTAGGTGATTCGAAATGCACCCAACCATTTCTGTCCAACTCGGGATTCGAACCCATAATTCTTGATTGTGAGTAGAGAACGAACCCGACTGTACTACCTAGACCCCTCCTACCGGTAGTACAGTCTGTAGTATATATAGTACGGCAAGATTTTTGTTCACTCGGGTATGGCACTCAGAAACAAATGGGCAAAGTTTCTTTCACCCTGAATGCCCCTGTTACCTAGCAGTAAATAGGTACCTGGGAGTTAGTTAGCTGTAACGGGCTGCTTCCTGGGGGTGGAGGCCTGGTCGAAGACCGGGCCGCGGGGACACTAAAAGCCCCGAAATCATCTCAAGATAACCTCAAGATATGGCTCTGCTACCATTTGAAAATGAGTTTTGAGGCCGGAGACGTGAGAAATAAGTTAGATGTGGCTAAAATATTTGCAGACATGTTCATTTGGTAGTTGTCTATTATATTATTGGTTGAAATTACAATTCTTCTAAGTGAAAGACCATAGGGTGTGAGAAATGCAACATTGAGGTATCTCTGGTTGCAACGAATTGGAGATTGGTCCCGTACATTTTGTTGAATCGAGGTTGTACCGTAATGCACATTACATAAGATACTTGGGAAAACTTAATGACATGCACAAATTTAACGGAATAGTGATATTAACATGAAAAATGAATTGTGGTGTGTGTTTCAACATAATCATCCTTCAAAGATGATCGATGTAATACAGTATCGCACAAGAATACCACTCGAATACTAAATAATTACTGTATTGAAATTATGTACAAAACAGTAATGAATTTCTGTTGATTTTAATGAATTATTAGGTAAAGTTATCTTTCCAAAATGTCCATGTAAGGTAAGTTTTTCAATTTTAAACATGGGCATCAGATGTGTTCACTAGCACTCCATAGCATGCATCTGCATCATGCATGTTCTCCAACCTTGAATTCATATACAAGGTAAGTTCTACAACTGTAGAGTGTGTGTGTGTTAAGTATGTAATGTGCAATAGTTAAGATAAGTTAGTATATAAGGATGTAGATAGAAACTACAGTACATTTCCATGCTAAATGCAGAAACTGGTAAAGGATTATCAGACACTAGGTCTTTTGTATACATATAGGTTCCATAATTTTCATTGGACTTTTGCATCTTCTGCTCTGAGTGTCTGTGCAGTGTCTTGATTTGGCGGACATTCTTCATGATGCGCTTGGTGTACCGACAAGTGGATGGGTGGCCATGGATTTGTGTCACACATAATATAGGTACCCAAAACATGAGCTTGTTGTAATGATCGTGTTGGTTCAAGTGTGTGTGCAGCAGATGGCATGGGTTGAAAACATGGAATAGCATCACTGATTGGAAGATTCCGTGTCATTGGAAAGTGCGATTTGTTAATGTGTTCAGAAACTGAGACGAGTATCGAGTCATTGCAATGCTAATTGGGACAGTATGTTGAGGCAACAGATGTAGAGAGTCAGTAGTGTCTGATGTAAGGAACACATTACTATTGCAGAAGCTGAAAAATAAGGTTTATATAGGTGAGGTTGTAAGAGCCTGAAAGCACAAAGCCTCGTCCAATTGGGACAAAGTGTGCTCATGGCTCACTGGAGGTTCAGGTACAACAAAGGTCAATCAAGCACAGGTCTGTTAGCCTCATTCTGAACTGGTATCTTGTATGTTTATATAACCAAGGCAGATGGGTACCTGCACCATCTTCACTGTGTAAATGTTTAGGAGCATGTCTGTGTATGGCATGACTGTCTCCGTGCTTCCACCCCTGAACAATTCTTGGTATGGGGTATTAATATCCTGTTTATGTTCCTAGGGGAAATGTGCAAGTCATTGATAATAACATTTTATGAAATTTATTGAAAAAATGCTGTTGAAGGTTTTGATGAAGGGAAAATTGTGGGAAAATTAGATATTACTCCCTCCAATAGTTTATTTTTCTAGGCAGCCTGATGAAAAGTAAAAAAAAAAGTCTTGGAATCTTGCCAACCATCTTGAAGTTAAACGCATTGTTCGAGGTATTATAAATTACTTTACTAGATAAAGTAGCTCATTGGTTCCGGAAGTACTTTTCACACCCACAAGATAAAAATAAAGAACTCCCACTATTGTACCTGTACATACAAATAGAAAATTCATACACAGGACACCAATGAAATTAGTGAACTCTTGTAGTAAGTAATTATCAAAGAAAACACCAAGCCTGAAAAATAGCACAGGGTTTATTAAGGTGTTTATCACCTCAATAAACAACATGAAAGTTGAGATCCGGGCAGCAGCTTCATAAAAGATATCCACAACATAATGGATATTAACACAGCAGACCCTGTTGACCAGACCACACACTAGAAGGTGAAGGGACGACGACGTTTCGACTTGACACAATCGACTTGAGAATGGTCCAGGACGGACCGAAACGTCGTCGTCCCTTCACCTTCTAGTGTGTGGTCTGGTCAACATACTTTAGCCACATTATTGTGTCTCATCGCCTGCACAGC